AGGTCACACGGCCTGGAGCCGCCTTGGACAGGGGCGCTATCTTCATAAGTGACAGGCAGCAGCCGTACACACTGGTCACCCCTTGGGAGTGAGGTGTACCACTCATCATACGGCCTCCCCCCTGTTTTCAAACGCCCAGCGGCTATCGGCTGGTCCCCTCCTCTCCCTCCTGGCGCCACTGGGAGTGTGGCACTCTGTTCCCATTGGCACCGCCCCCTCCTGTATTCAAATGTCCAGCGGCTATCGGCTGCTTTCCTCTTCTCCCTCGTCGCCCCAACGACCCGGTGACTGATCGACGGCAGGTGACAGTCACAGGTCCTGCCCCGCGCAGGCTGGGGCCGCCAACTTGGGCTTGCCTCGGGGGCAATGGAGCCCCCCTGGGCTGCAACTGCTCCCGGCAGCCCCCCGTTGCAGGGGAATCGTTTCACCGCAGTGGCAGGCCGCGGCTTTGGTTTCCGCGCTACCTCCTGGGAGCGAGGTGCACCCCCACACTGCGCTAGACCCCCGCGTCACTCCGTGGGCTATTAGCCCGGGCGGTCGGCTGAGATAACCCCACCCACGTTTCTTGGCCGCGTTCTACGCTGGCCCATGGAGGGCCCTGGCGATCGGCTGAAGCCCCCGCCCCTTCCGCCCCCCGCCCGCAGCGGCTGGCCATGGCCACAGTTCTTGTGCCACCTCATGGGTTCGAGGGGCACCCCCACACTGCGCGTTGATACCCGCGGCGCCCCGTGGGCCCCCTGCCTGCGCGGTCGGCTGAAATAACCCCACCCACGGCTCTTTGGCCGCGCTGATTGTAGGCCCGTGGAGTCTGAGGTGGCTGGCTGAAGGCCACCCCCCCCTCACGCTTCACCCTTTGAAGTCCGACGGCGTGCCCACGTGGCTTCCCAGCTCCGGCGCTTCCCCGGCCGTGGCACAAGGCGCGCGTCGGGTCCTCGTGTTGGGTTCGCTCGGGCCTCCCCCCCTCCTCCTGGCGCTCTGGGCACGATGGTGGCGTCCCATCGGCTTGTGGCACTCACAGGACTCGCGAGTCTCCAGGCTGCTCACTGGCAGGCCACAGGTGAAGGGGCTGGGCCAGCACGGGCTTCCCCCATGGGCCGCAGTGGTCAGGGGCAGTCCTCATCGCGGACGGTGTCACCGCAGTGTCAGGCCTTGGCCTTAGTCCACGTGCGTCCTCCTGGGAGTGAGGTGCACTTACACTACGTTCCCCCACGGTATCAGTGGGCTCCGCTTGTGGGGTACGGCTGCAATAACCCCCCCACACTGCTCTGGGCCTCCATGCTTACAGGCCAGCTCGCTCGCACCCAATCACGATGGTGCCGACAAGCGACAGTCGCCCTTCACCGTGCCTGGGGCACGGCAGACGCCTGTCGGCGTGATCTGTGAGCCTCAGTGAGTTAGTCGCCTCGCAATTTGGATGCACTGGGTCATCTCCTGGAGTGAGGATGCATAGTAGCGGGCCACGGCGCGCCATTTTGGCACGTGCTGTGGCAGCATGTTTGGGACCTGAGCAGGGCGCGCTCTTCAGTCAGAGTACCTAATGGTGGTTCACACCGTGCGTGTCGGTTGTCCGCCCCTGGCACCTTCCATCTCTTGTCGACGGAGTTCTTCAGTTGTGCTCTTGTGGTCCTCGATGAGCACAGGGTGCTCCGTGAGCGAGGGTTCCTACTGTCTGTCTCGTCGCCACTTGCTCCGTTCACTCTGTCTGTAGGCGTTTCCCCTGCTGCCTACAGCTGCATTGGCCGTTGCGGCTGCACGGGCGCAGGCCCCGTGCGTGCTGTGGTTGGCCAGTGGTCGCTGCTTGCGGGCGCCGTTTGGGCGGCTCCTCGCTTGCTCGCGCTTCCGTTCGCCCGCCGCCCCCGCCGCCTTCGGCTGGTTTGGCCACTGCGGCTGCACAGGCGCAGGCTGTGCGCGCCTCGCGGCTGGCTGCTTGTGTCTGTTTCTTCGCGAGTTGGCGCCGTCAGGGCGACTCTTCGCTGGCTCGCGCCAGCCATGGCCTTAATTGGTCCTTGCATGTGCACTCCGCGCGTTCTCGCGCTATTTTTCTTGCGCTGCGCCCCAGCCTCGGTACTCACGCACTCTGGACTTTTCCTTGCGGGCCGCTAATCAAAAAGTAACCCACCAGTCCTACCTGCAGGTCCCCCCTGGCGAGACACTGGGCACTGGTGGTTGTGACGTGGTTTGCGCGACGTGCACCCCTGTCGTTAAGGATGGTGGCTGCCCCTCAGGATTCACGACCTGTCCACCTTTGATTGGGTCAGAGTCGGCTCGCCGGCGAGCACCTGGTGCTCCGTGGGTGGGGCATATTTCTTTTCCCCCCCCTCTTTCGCCCTTCCGTCGCCCTGCTCAGCGCACGGCTTCCTGGTGCTGGCGCAACGTCGCCACGCGCGGCTGACTCTCGACTGGTGATCTGCATTTCTTAGGCTTGTTGCCTCCGTCTGCCCGTTTTCCCCGATTTGTTCTGCATGTTGCACGCGCGGTCCGCTGTCGACTGTGACAGCTGGGTTCGCAAATTATTTGGCTCTGCGCCCCAGTCAGCCCGATTGACACGCCCTCTGGATTCTTCCTTGCGGGCCGCAGATCATAAAAGTAACCCCACCAGTCGTGGGACATCATGGGACACCATGGGACATCATGGGTGCCAGGGGCGACCTCACCCTCAGCCGCACGGCTGGGGGCAAGGGCCGCCACCGGCCAGCGTCGGAAGACACCAAGGACGGAGAAGGACGCGCTGCCAAATCGCCTAGGGGCAACCCCTCGCGAGTGGAGATCCACGAAGCGCCCTGGAGAGACGCAAGGATCGCACAGCCGCCCCGCGCAGACCCAAACGACCCCATGGGAGGCATCCCCATGTACATGTGCACCGTAGCAGACGCAAACGTGGAAAGAAAGGAACCAGTGCAGGATAAGATTATACGCCTGCAAAAGACGCTGGGAGGAGCGTTCAATGGAGCATGGGCCGCATGGGTCAAGATGGCTGCCCTGAGGCAGGAGCTCAGCGGAAGCCAGAAGCACAACCCCAAACTGAACACAGTCCAGTCGCGCACTGAATTCCTCGAAGCATGGAGTGACGCAGGGCACGACGCCTACAAAATGGACAACGAGCTGGGACTCAACGTCAACTGGGCAGCTGTCAGGGACAAGCACATGAAAGTCATGGGCCGCGATTCCCGTGCGCACGCCCAACGCGACCACGACAGCGGCAGCAGGCCCGCCCCATGGACAGCAGAAGGCAGAGCGGCCACCGCTGCAGCCGCACCGGACCGCTGGGCCGGTGCCATCGGCACAGCCACCCCCAGCCAGCGGCAGGACTGGCAGGAGTGGAGCTCTTGGGACCGACATGAAGCCCCATGGACGGACACGGATTGGAAAGGCATGGGCAAGCGTCACTCCCCCAGGGGGGGCGACCGGTACACGGACAAGCGCGCCCGATGGTGGATTAGGGATAACTCGTACACCCAGGGCTAATGGTGCTGGGCATACCCGCCTCAGCACCCCTGGCGCTCCTGGTCAACGAGCTCCGCCCCTCCCACCCCCTGCTCTTGCCCCTACGGGGCCAGTTTCACCTCGCTGAGCCCGGCTCAGGCCGCAATACCTAGGGGCAACTTACGCTGGGGCGAAGGTTACCCCATATCTCACCCACGGCGCAGCATAGCTAGACAGCCCACACTGGATAAGTGGACCTACCCCTGACATTTCACCCCCCTGATCAACAGGGGAGCTGCCCGAAGGACAGACGGGTCCCAGGAGCACCCACTTTGCTGTCCGACGACGACAGCCACACATCCGCTGGTGGCGGGGGGACGGCCACGGAAACAACCCCCCACACGCGCCAGCGGAACGGCCTGGGCAGGCCACAGTTTTGACAGCATCGACTCTAGCGGCGATCAGCTGCGACCCCCGAGGACCAATTTTCAAGGACGCACCTATCTGCAGATGCACATCTGTTCGACTGGTTACAGCCCTAGAGGGCCTACACTCGGACACACCGACCATCAATAATGTTCATGGCGGCGATCAGCTGCGACCCCCGAGAAGAGTAAAAAGAGATCCTAGCGGCGATCAGCTGCGACCCCGAGTAGTTTAAAGCGTGATCTAGCGGCGATCAGCTGCGACCCCCAGGATGTCCCAAGAGGATGGCAATGGCCCCTGGCCCACGGTTTTGGGGCCTGTCCGAGGGGAGAGGCGTTGCGGCCCCTCGCCGCTCCCCTCTCGGGCCAGGTGGGAGTCCCCCGCCCTTGGCCCCGGAGCCCGCCTGACGTGTCCGACGTCGGTGTGGTTGCTCCCCCCTCCCAGGGCCTGCCGTGCTCCGCGCTGCTCGTGGTCTGGCTCTTCACCCACAGCGGCGGTTGCTTCGGCCCTGGAGGAGCACGCGGCGTGCGTCGGCTCACACGTCTGGGGGAAGGTACCATGCGGGGGTCTGGGCTGGCGCTGTCTCCGCCCTGAGCGCCCACCGCAGCGCAGCTCCCTCTGGCGCTTCGCCCGACGACAACGCGGTCGGCACCACCACCACGCGTGCAGCCCCCCCTTCCTCTTCTTCTCCGTCGGCGATGCTCACCACGCCCGCGGGCTTCTCACACCCAGCTTCCGCACCGTGCCGGCGCGCGCTGGAGGGCACACAGTCGCACGGCTACCCCCCGACATTGGGATGCGGTCCACTGAGACTGGCCTGGGCACTGAGTGGTTTAGCCTTCAGCAGCATGTACAGTTTCTCGGACCCACTTTCAGCCCAACTGCGCGCGGCATACGCTCTCGGCTGCTCGGCCGGCTGGTTTACGCAAGTCGTCCGTTTGAAGTCTGGCGCCACAATGGCGACTCACTTCATTGGCCTTCCCATTATCACTGGGCACAGAAACCTGCCCACTGTGGTAAGGTTCTTGCGCCTGTTATGCGCTGGCCACTCGAATTTGGTCATTTTGTCCAGTGCGCGCGCCCGTGCTAACAGTATGTCAGCCAGCTCTGGCTGGCCGCGTTCTGTTTTTGCAAATTAGCCTCGCCCGCGGCCCGGACGTTGCCATCGCCACATGACCGTTGTCTTCGTGGCCGCTGGCCAAAAAAGTACCCCACCAGTCCGTAGCCACTGGCTCAAGCATCGGCCGCGCGCCGCGCGGCGGTCCTCCGGGGGCTCCGCATGGGCCCTCCCGGCGGCTTTGCGGGCAGACGCCCAGCCGAGGCCGGCTGCCCCGCCTGCCGGAGCTGCACCGGGCAGCCGGCCGGGCCAGAGGCCGAGCGGTGCGTGTTTTGCCACTTGGCGGACGGGACGCAGTACGTCCCAACGCACTTCGAGGGCACGGAGCCGCTGCCCTTCGGCCCCGGGCTGGCCGCCCACTGTGCGTGTGCTGCCTGCTGGGCCGCCTGGGTGGAGCAGCAGGCGCGAACCAGCAATCAGCGACGACTGCCCAGCACGCAGGGCCGATCTGGCCCCCGCGTCGGGGAGCGCGAGTTGGAAAGCCAGGACGTCGACGTGTCGTGCCCCGTTTGCCAGCGCCGGGTGGACGTGTGCCAGGGCTGCCCCGCCCAGGCTGGGCTGTGCGGCCCCTGCCTCGAGCGCCTCGTCCTGCCGCGCGGGAAGCTGCCCCGTCTTGACCGCTGCGGCGGCTCTCGGCGCGCGTGCTGCCGCGCACCCTTTTGGTGCATGGTGGCCGTCGCCGTGATCGCGTGGAGCGGCGCGGCCTACGGTGTCAACGCGCTCATGCGACGTCTGCTGGCCCGAGTGGCCGAGGCAACCGAGCTGGACGGCTTCGACCTACCATCGGAGATGGCCTACTTGGTCTGCCCGGCCCTCGGGTTGCTGGGCGGCGTCCCGTACGACCCGTTCCTCAGAGCCCTGGTGGAGGTCGGCGAGCGACTATGTCGTGGGAGTCGCGCGCGCGGCCGCCGGAGGTGACCACGGAGCTACCGGCAGGAGCGGTGCCAGAGCGCTCGCCCGCGGGCGACCGCGCGCGGCAGGAGCTGTGAGCGCGCGCCCGTGCTCCCACCAAAGAAAATCTATCCCAGTGCGACCCTACCTAGGAGTCGGAGCCTCTAGGGAAGCAACATTAGTAGGAGCGGTAAACGCCGTCCCCCTCCTTCTCCTCATCGTCGTAGTTGTAGTTGTAGTTGTAGTTGTCGTTGTCGTTGTAGTTGTTGTTGTAGTAGTAGTTGTAGTAGTAGTAGTAGTAGTAGTAGTAGTAGTAGTAGTAGTTGTTGTTGTAATTGTAGTAGTTGTAGTAGTTGTAGTAGTAGTAGTAGTAGTAGTAGTAGTAGTAGTAGTAGTAGTAGTAGTAGTAGTAGTAGTAGTAGTGGTAGTGGTAGTAGTGGTAGTGGTAGTAGTAGTAGTAGTAGTAGTAGTAGTAGTAGTAGTAGTAGTAGTAGTAGTAGTAGTAGTAGTAGTAGTAGTAGTAGTCGTAGTCGTAGTCGTAGTAGTAGTCGTAGTCGTAGTAGTAGTCGTAGTAGTCGTAGTCGTAGTCGTAGTAGTAGTCGTAGTAGTAGTAGTAGTAGTAGTAGTAGTAGTAGTAGTAGTAGTAGTAGTAGTAGTAGTAGTAGTAGTAGTAGTAGTAGTAGTAGTAGTAGTAGTAGTAGTAGTAGTAGTAGTAGTTGTAGTAGTAGTAGTAGTAGTAGTAGTAGTAGTAGTAGTCGTAGTCGTAGTCGTAGTCGTAGTCGTAGCCGTAGTCGTAGTAGTAGTAGTAGTAGTAGTAGTAGTAGTAGTAGTAGTAGTAGTAGTAGTATAGTAGTAGTAGTAGTAGTAGTAGTAGTAGTAGTAGTAGTAGTAGTAGTTGTTGTTGTTGTTGTTGTTGTTGTTGTTGTTGTTGTTGTTGTGGTTGTTGTGGTGTGGTTGGTAGTAGTAGTAGTAGTAGTTAGTAGTAGTAGTAGTAGTAGTAGTAGTAGTAGTAGTAGTAGTAGTAGTAGTAGTAGTAGTAGTAGTAGTAGTAGTAGTAGTAGTAGTAGTAGTAGTAGTAGTAGTAGTAGCGCCAGAACCGCCGACGCCACGCCGTAAGTGAAGCAGCAGCAGAAGCAGGCAGCAAGTCGCCGAGACAGCAGCAAAGGCAAGCAGGCACGGAGATGAGGGTGGGGCACTGGGGAGTTATTTACATCTACATCTATATCTACACCTACATATACATCGATACCTACATGTACATCTAGACTTACATCTACATTTACAGCTACATCTACATCTACACCTGCATCTACATCTACATCTACATCTACATCAACAGCGAGACTCACATCTACATCTACATCTACATCTACACCTACATATACATCTACACCTGCATCCACATCTACACCTACATCTACATCTACATCTACACTGTCGCATCGGTTTTGCTTTTGCTTTGGCTTTGCTAATGGTCGGCGTCGTCTCTGATCTTTCTGTCAATTTCCATGAGGAGCAGACAGGGGACACCTCTTCCTGTCGGGGGTTTGGCGTCTTCGTGAGCACCGAGACTACCGCACGGAGTTTTTGAAAGTCGTGTGCGTTACACGCAGCACCTTGCACAGTCAACTACCGATTCACGGCCGCGATGGAACTGAACGTCTGTGCAGGTTGTTCAACACTGCTTGGAACATTGTTCTCTGCAGGATGCTCAACACTGCTTGCTGGGTCTCGTGCCTCGCCACTCGAGGTCCGTAAGAACGCCCGCATGACGCAATACGCTGCTGCACGCTCTTGCGTGGTTCTGCGAGTCGCGGAATTGAGGCTGAACGGCAACGAGGATGAAAGGCATTACGACTCGGTGCTGAACAAATACATGCACACACGCACACACACACAAGCAGCATTCCACATGGGCGTTATGTATATTTGCGCATATATTTGCATATATAGAAACACATTTAGGACATGCGATAATACGTCGGGTTTCATGTCTCCTGGCCGGTGCTATGTGCGAAACCTTCGTGAATCCAAAGGGCTCAAGCTGCCCCACTCAGGGCTCAAGGCCCACAGACGACAACATGCATGGAACATACGTGCGCACACACACACACACAGATATGTATATATAAGAGCAATAGTGGATGCTGTGCTGCGCTATGCTATGCTATGCTATGCTATGCTATGTTGCGCAATGCTATGCTGGGCTAGGCTAGGCTATGCGATGCGATGCTCTGCTATGCTGCGCTATGCTTTGCTGCGCTATGTTAAGATATGCAATGCTATGTTACGCTATGCTATGTTTTGTTTTGCCTTCGTTCTTGCCTCTACTTTCGCCATTGCTTTTGCTTGGCACCCAGTGAGCGCAACTGGGGGAACCGCGCGTTTGCTTCTACCTTTGCTGCTGCTTTTGCTTGGCTCCCAAGGGGACTGGGGGAACCGCCCGGGGCGGTTTGCACTGCCCGGCTCCTTTTAAGCCAAGCGAGTAGGAACCCTTCTAGGCAGATCCGAGGTAGGGGGGAAAGGAAGAAACAAAAAAAACAACAAACAATGATATTACATACATAGATATAAGAGAAGAAAGAGAAGAAGAAGAAGAAGAAGAAGGAGAAAAAAAAAAACAAAAAACAAAAAAACAAAAAAAAAAAAAAAAAAAAAAAAAAAACGGTAAGGTGATGTCAGTTCCCACCTGCCCCGGCCCCCCCATCCCGCGCAAAACGCGGTTCTCTCTGAGCGGCGTCCCCGACACAAGCCCCCTAGCCAGTTCCCACGCTTGCGTCTGCAATCCTTGGGCATCTGGTCTATAGTATTTGCCTCAGCCGGCCGTGTCTGATGCTGGCCCTTTGGGGTTACGTCTGCCGTCTTACTCAGGAGTGGTTCAGCCTTCTTGCAGTGGTCAGCGCACCCCCCACTGGCGCATCGTTACCGACTTGTCGTGGCACGTACTTAGCCACAGCTGTGGCCCTGACCCCTGGCGCCCGGTGGCGACAAGGTCCAGCAGCGTACCTGGTGATTTCCTCCCACGGTACCCCCTTCGAGCCCGAGCGCGCTTGCACCTCTCGGACTCTGTTCTTCCTGGTTGCGCGCCGCCTTCCCGAGTCTGACCGTCTGGTGGCACCGCCTCGCTGGGCGGACGTTTGGTCTGTAGATACAGAACACGTCACGACGTCTCCTGGCGTGCAGGATCCAATTCACCCGGTTGTCTTTCTGGGTCTCGCACGTGTGCAGCAGCTACCCTGGCCATTTGCAGTCAGCTCAGCCAGCTCAGCCTCAGCCAGCTGCCTCCCCGGCGGTAGATTCTGATCCCGCGTTCGGTCGCTGCCCCTTTTGGCTCGCGCGTAGCACCTCCCCTCACGCCGTTGGCGGCCTCGTCCGCGCGTGTAAATTAGATCGGCCCGTGGCCCGAACCTTTCAACTCGGCGCCTGCGCTGTCGCTTGCGCCCGCGAGGAAAAAAGTAACCCCACCAGTTCGCTTCCAACGCCATGCACACCCCCACGCTGGCAGTTCGACTCAGTCTCAGTCGCCCTTGCCACCCGCCGGTCCGCCGCTGGGTTGCCGCGCGAGGCCTCGGGTAGCCGCAGGCGTGGCCTGCCCCCGCTTCCTTCGCTTAATTCGTCGCTGCGTAACCCGCTTCGACCTGACTCGCCGCTGGCGCGCTCGCCCGCGGCCGCTGACTAGAAAAGTAACCCCACCAGCCCTCCTCCGTTGAGCGCCTGCTTGCCCGCCCGTCGTTCTCGTTGGCGACGCTTCTGCCGACGCTCCGTTTTGGTACTGGAACACTTCCGTCGAGTGCCTGCATGTTGTTCCTCACCCTCTCCGACCTCCTGGCGGTCTTCGAGTTCGACGGCATACTGCTCATCGCCAATTTGGCGCTGCACGTTGACCTGGAGCTGTTCTGGGCCCCCCCGCGCTTTTGAGTTGCAGCGTAGTTCGCTCCTGCGCGTTGTGTGGGTAATTTAGGCTACTGCTGGCTTGCAATTCCCTGACGGCGCCCGGCACTCCTGCGCGCTCGCGAGCGACAAAGTTTAGCAACCCCGCCAGCCCATCCAGAAGCGATGCCTAGAGGAATTGCCACGATCAGGGAAGTGGGCAGCACAGAGAGGAAGGGTCCCCCAGTTGAGGCCTGTTGGAGCGTTGGGCGCTCTTGGGGCGTTCTGGAGCTCTTTGGGGGCCGTCTTGGGGCTCTCTTGAGCCTCTCTTGGGGCCCTCTTGGGCCATTTTGGAGCCACCCTGAGGCCTCGGATGGTTATCGGAAGCGAAAAGTCGAGAAAGCCAAAACCATTGTTGCTGTTTTTTTGTCATGAGGTTTTGGGCCTCTTCGGGTCCTCCTGGGGGAGTTTTTTGGCCACTTGGAGCCGTCTTGGAGCGGTTTTGGGCCATCTCGGAGCATCGCGGGAGCCACCTTGAGGCATCTTGGGATATATGGAGACATTTTGGAGGTCACCTTGGGCTCCCCCACGCGCTCTTAAAGCCATCTGAATCAGCACCCCCCCAACCCACCCCACCCCACCCCGGGAGGCCAAAATGTGGCCAAAGCTTGTGGTTAACATCGATGGGTTTAGCATTCTCGCCGAGGCCTCTCGGAGCGTTTTGCGTGCTTTTGGGCGGCCTCTTGGGGGTCGGGCGTTTGGGAGGGCTTTTGGGGCCTCCTGGCCACCTCTTGGGGCCCTCTTGGGCACCCTTGGGAGCCTTGGGAACGCTGTTGGGGCCATCTCGGAGGAGATTGATCAAAGAAGGGGGGGGCCCTAATTAGCCCCCCCCCCCACCCTAGAGGCCAAAATGGAGCCAAAACCACCACCCGCCTTCCCAACACATACGTAGCACCCGAGCTTGGCCCGAGCCGCAGCATATTCAGCAGTCGTCTTTGGATGGGCAGTTACTGGGGGCGAATCCGCCGCCGCCGCTGTCCGCCGCCGCCGCCGCTGTCCGCCGCCGCCGCCGCGCCGCCCGCCGCCGCCGCCGCCGCCCCCGCTGCCGAATCGCCGCCGCCGCAACCGTTGCCGCCGCAGCCGCTGCCGCCACCGCTGCCGCCGCCGCCACCGCCGCCGCCGCCGCAGGGAACAGCGATAAACCCTTCCCCGAAACGGAAGCACGGAGTTGGAAGAGGAATCTCCATAGACCACCTACGCCCTAAAGAGCTGGTGAGACTCTTGCCAAGGTTCGTCCTAATATGAGCCCAGAGCAGCTC